GTGGCTGCAGGCTCCCCGGCGCCGTGGCACCCTACCTTGCATGATGTCTTTCATCACCGACTGCAGCACAACCTCCTCGTAAGTGTTCTCCACCAGGATGAAGCTGGCAAAGTCCTCGAAGATCAGCTCCTGAAACTTGGCTAACTCCTGCCGCAGGGGAGAGGCCACTCAGCCGGGGGGACGGGAGGGAGGGAGGGGAAGAACTTCTTCCGCACGGTGCTGCTGTCGTAGTCATATTTCTGCAGGGCAAGAGGGCAGCCCCGGGTCAACAAGGGCACGGGCTGGTAGCCCCCCGGGGGCTGCCTGCCCCCAGACCCAACTGCAAGGGCACGAGCAGGCTCCTCTGCCCCTCACATCCTTCTCTGCAGCCAGTTCCCAGGTAAGAGCCAGCTCCTCCACTGCAGGAGCATTTTTGGGCCAGTCTGAACCCCGGGTGGCTTTTAATGTGGTCAGAGGGGACTTGGTTCCCCCAGGTGGTTTCCCACTCTCCTGCCCCACATCCCAGCAAAAGGCATTAAAATCTCAGTATAAAGATGTATTTTCCCATACAACTTTTATTGAAATCAGAAAGGTCACTCCTGTCCTCTTCCCCAGGATCCTGGCCCTTGGATTAAGGCTACAGAAGGCCACCAAAGCCCCTGACCTGCCACCCCTCACCTTGAGCACCCTCTCGAGGATGCGCTGGATGGACTTGCACAAGTCGTCTTTGCCCTGCAGCTTCCCCAGCTCCTGATGGAGCAGCGTCTCGAACGTGTGCACGGCGTCGTCCATTTGCTGTGAGCAGAGGCAGACGGTCACGGGGACTCAAAGGGACCAAGCATGGGGGCGGGCAGGGGGCCCTTCTGGGGCACTGCCACACCAAGATGAGCCTTCACACAAGCAAGGTCCTTGGCATCCCGGCGTGGCACCCATGGGCTCCACCCTGGGGACCATGGGTGCTGGGGAAGGAAGGTGCCCAAAACTGGTTTGCATCTCCTCCCCTCTAGACCTCACTCCAGGTTTGGCTGGATCAGACCCCAGAATCGGGCTGCTGGCCTTGCTGGTGCCAGTGGGCTCTGTGGCAAAGGGGCAGCTGTGCTGTGACGCCCAAGCCTGGGTGCTGAGTCCATGTTGGAAGGGTGCCCCACGCTGCTGCCCATCCGTGGGCTCCCTCCCTGCTTGGGCTCAAGACCGAAGGGGATGGCCAGATCCATCACACACCCTTAGCTGGGTCCCAACAACATGAAGGTCCCTGAGATAGGACAGACATCCCGGCCAAATCCCTGCCTGGGTTGGACCAGCCTGGTCTCCCCGCTCTGCCTCCGCTCCCCAGCCCTCTGCGCTCAGCCGGGGGCACACAGGAGGACCCCAGTCTCCATCCCACCTGTCTCATGTGGATCTGGGCCCTCTGCTTGAAAACAGATGTGCTGGAGACATCGAACCGCTGCTGAAGACCCTCCAGTTTCAGCTGGTCCATCTTCTCATAACATGACTGCATCTTCACAGGGTGGAAGGCCAGGCGGGAAAGCTTCTCCATGTACTGGGGATAAAGCCAAGCTCAGCAGGACAGGACAGCCTCACCACATGTCGAGGCAGGGACATGGCACCCCACATGGGCTTCAGACCCATGTATTTTCTCAGCCTGGGGTTCTCCAGCGCCATCCACACCAGGGATGGCACCAGGACTGGCCCTACCACCCCCAAGCCCACCAGTCAGCAAGAAGCATCACCAGGTCTCACCTCCGCCAGCTTCTCCACACCACCTTCATTGACGATGTTCATGTTCATGTCCGTCACCTCTTTGAAGAATACCTCCCGCACCTCGGCAAAGCCCTGGCTTGTGGGGGTCATCAGGGCCTCCAGGATGGAGGAGATGTAGGGCTGGACATGGTTACGGACACAGACCTCCGCTTTGGGGAGGACGAATGCTGGGCAGAGTGGGGACAAAGATGGTGAGGCTCCTCCCCTGCCCTTCCAGCTCTTCAAATCAGGTCCTGTACCCACCCTAGGAGGACGACCAGCCCCTCTCCCCAGATCCCTCCAGGAGAGGTCTCCCAGACTTGCAGGACAATGCAAGCGGTCTGTATTGAACCCGTTCCTGCCCCACTGCCTTGCTTGGGGCGTCACTGTCCACCTTGTCCCCCACCTCCTGGGACAATGAGGACATGCATCCTGTCCACTGCAGCTCCTGGCATCACTCCAAGGGTCCCAGGCCATGCTGGCAGGAGCTACGCTGCACCTCAGGAACAGCCACACCTTGGTGCAACAGTGGTGATGCCACACCAGGAGCTGGTCACGGACACAGCTGCACACATCCATGTCCCCACATCTCCCCACGGGGCTGTACCTCGGATCTTGCTGGCCAAGTGCTCCTTCGAAGTGATGATCTGGTCCATGTCCGTGCGGATGGTGCTTTCCATCTGGGGCCGCTCCTGTTCACACTTTGCCATTGCTGCATCATACTGGGCTTTGGTCTGCTCGTAGACCATCCTATAGACGGCATCTGAGATCTGGCAAGAAAGAGAGACAGGGTGGTCAGCTTCCCCCCACACCTCCTGCCACCCCCGCTAACCATCACCTTCAGCAGCAGATGCCTGCAGGACCCGCTGAGCCTTCACCCACGCCCTGACCGGACCCGTCCTCGCAGCCTGGCAGTAGGTTTTCCACACCAGGGACACCCCAGATGGGTGAGATGAAACCCCCATGGTGCAGAAGCTGCTTCAAAGTGGTGCCCAAGGGGCACAGAGCCAAGCGCTGCCTCCATCAGCCAACCTGCCTGGGGCAGGTCTAGGGATGCTGGTGGTCCACAGATGCTGGTGGTCCAGGGATGTTAGAGGTCCAGGGATGCTGGTGGTCCAGGGATGCTGGTGGTCCAGGGATGCTGGCCGTCCGGGCGGGAGTGCCCTTGACCCTGTTTGAAAGCTGTGCCCTGCCCTGCTCAGCCTGCCTGGGGTCTGAGGAACCAACGCCATGAGCGGGACGGAGCCGCTCGCTGAGGCTTCACGCTGACTTTGCAGCCAAACGCCGTGATTTTGGGGCAGCAGGAGGGAGACCCATCCCTGTCCCCAACTCCCTTGGGCTTCCCAGCTTTGCAGCTGAGACCGCAGCTACCGAAGAAGCAGTGTTTGTGCGTTTTTAGCCTGCTCCAGTGGCACATTAGGAGCCTTGTGGTAATTATCTATCAGCTTTTAAGATTTCACCAGTCAGTTTTGAACAGCCTTCGGTCTTTTGCAAGGATCCAGGCTGGATTTAGTCTGTGCTGCTCTAAAAATGGCTCGCTAAATATAGCCAGGACGGGCTCCGCTCCAGGGCTGGGCTTCCTCCTGTTTGCTTCCCTCGCCCCAGGGACGCGGCAGCGCAGGCAGGGATGGGCAGGGCTGCTCGCAGGGGCACAACGAGGAGCTTTAAAAAGCCACAGCGGAGAATAAAGACGGGTTT